TAATAGTTTCATTTAATAATTTTAAGTTAAATAAAATCTAAAAATGAGTATTTTTCAGTAAGAAAAATAAAAAATGTGTGTCATTTTAGGGGCCTTTCGGAACGTTTTTCATAAATAGTGGATAATGGTACAATTGTACAAAGTGAACCAGCGTGCCCATGTTAAAACAGTAATAATATTCGTAATCTTAATTTTTGTATTAAAAACACTAGGAATAAAATAACATTTATTTAATTTTTAAGTTATAAGTTAACTTATATAAATGAGAAAGACGAAGAAAAATATTTTCAAAATACTAGTGTACTGTTACACTGTAGTACACTTACACACTGTTTTTTTTACATCTACATCTTTTGTACAAACAGAAGTACCATGAATTACTACCGTCCTTAAATTGCTTCATTCTGAGCACCTGTTTTTTCCATAATTAAATTTTAAAAGATGAAAAAATGACTATAAACTTCAGAAAAAATACTTCTTATCCAAGCAAATTTTAAACCTGACCTGATATGAAAACGAGGTCTTAACTTTTTTAAAGCAATTTGGAAAAACCATCAATGTCATCTCATTCGATTTCACTATGATGACGAATAACTCACGATTTAAATTTTCCTGTTATTTTTCCAACTTTAAAGAGGAAAAGATAACGGTAAATTTGCTTTTTAACGTCCGAGCGCTAAATATCTTAATTTCCCAAATCGTCATAATTCCGTGTAAATGTACATGCTGAACTCGAATTAACAATTAAATTATGAAGAAACCTACCGTTTTGGAGTAATCGACAAGAAAAAATCGGACCTTGTTGGTTATTCGTCCGCCATTACTGCCATAATGTTCACTAATCCAGTGCGGGTTACTTCCGGTGGCGTAAGCACAAATTTTGGCCTATCTATAATTAAGCATAATTTTATTTGGGTCTTGGGTACAGTAAAGCATTTTTTTCATTAAATTAAAAATAAAACCAACAATAATTAATGCGCAAACTTTGTAAAGAGACACTTGACTTAATTATATAATTTATATTTGAAACTGGAATTTGTTCCTGCTAGAGAGTATCTCGTATCTAGCATTTTTTTAAAATTGTAATTTTATTTTCGAAATTAACTGTCTATTCATGTCAAAAACAGTTTCATAGAAAGAAATATTTATCTTCTACATTGTGTGTGTGTTGAATGAAAAATGAGTTTCGATCACATTTTATCACTTAGAGGCTCAAAATATAAAATTTGTGAAATCCAAATTTTTAAGGAAACGCGAAATAGGGTAAAAAAAGGAAAACTGTAACAACAAAGAATTTACATTTTCTTATGATTTTTTGTGTGACAATGATGTGGATATATTCGTTTATAATTTATTCAAAAAAGAAAAGAAGTTTCATAAAAAATAAAACTTCCATATTTTTAAAACCCATACACAAGAAATTCATGTTTTACTTACTTTGAAAGTAAAAGTTCGTTAAGCAGTGGAATCTTTTGTTAATAATGCGGTGATAGGAAAAGTTAGTCCCCTTAATAATTTTATACCAGGAGAAAATGTAACTCCATTAAATTCACTTGATTTTGAATGATTATATTGCAGCAAAATATTTTATTTCAGCTTTTTTAAGAAAAAAAAAATTTTTTTTGACTGACCAATGTAATGTTATATCAATAAATGTTATATCAATAAATGTTATATCCAACATACTCAAAGCAATTTTTTGTATCAATGGTTTATCTTGTCAGTATAGCACAGTAACATTTTAAAAAATTAACTACCTGCTGATCTATTATTCAGTTCTTGATCTGCATTTTACAAATAATTGTGACTAATTATTGTGGATGGGAAGCACATCTATTTTCTTAAAAAAAAGAAGTAAAGAAAGGTGAAACTAGCCGTTATTTTACTTGAAAAAAGACTTAATAAAAGGATGCTTTCTCAAGATTATTTTTAATCAATTAAAAAGATGGAATTTGAAACCTGAGACAATTTTAAAATGTAGTTAAGTTCTTGGCAAGTTTAACCACTATTCATTGCACTAATGATTTCATGAGTAGTCAGACGAGATGAGGTTAGTAGAACAATTAACCATAGCAATGAAATGAGAAAGGAGGGTGCTGGATTCTGAGATGTCCTATGAGCCAAAAAATCTTCAGAACTACTTTAAATCTTAATTTAAATCTTAAAAACAGATAATTTTGTCTGAAACAAACCCATCAATTTTTCCTTAAAAATATGAAGACAACTCACTCTCTTCAATTAAAATTCTATGAGGATGAATCAACTTCCAAAAGTTTACCACAAATAACAATCATTCTGCAACTCTTTCCATTCAACAAACAAGTGTTGCTACTACTATGTTGGCTTATCAAACCCCTGAATAATAGCAAAATTTGACAACACTTTTTGAAGTTCAGTGGGACATTCTACACTCAGCTTCTTTTCACAGAAAATATTATTGTAAACAAAACTTTTTATTTCTGTTTCAATTTCACACTAAGTAAGAGTTCTTTTTTATTGTGCACTTAAAGAGGTGTTAATTGAATTTTTGTATATGGGAAAATTCTCATAGTTTTGGTATACTTCTGAATTAAAATATCTTTGAGGTTAAAAACACAGTTAAGATAAATTAATTATTCTGTCAGCTTTAAGTTCCATTTAAATAAAGGTCAGTTTTATAACTACCATCTTCATTGAAAAGATTGGTGTGCATTTGTGTGTGAAAGTTTTCATAGAAGAAAAAAATGAGTAAAGCAACCAACTGCCTCTAATCTTACAATTACCAGTCAAAAGGAATGTACTGGCTGAACAGTAGCAGTAAGGGAGTGGCAACTTGATCCTGTCATATGTTCACTTGAAGAGACTATTTTCTAACTTTATTGGCTGCATCTATGGTTAATTAAATAAGGAAGTTGGGTGTGTTCCCACTAGTCACAAAAACTGTTTTTATTATGTGGTGTTCAACTTATATCTACACTACATTTAACTATGGTTTAGTGGAGGCTCAAATAAATAAAATAGCTGAGAATATAGCTACTGTATTTTAATTTGTTGTAAATGTGATTGGCTGATAAATATGAATGCTTAAACATTTTAGTTCTATTTTTAGATGTGATTAAATTGGAGCTCTAAATAAGCAGGTGAGTAAAGTTAGTTACATATCAACAAGAGTAAGAGATATTTCAGTGTTGTGTAAAGGTTAGCAAGCTTGTCTCACTAGATCAATTATGACTGAGTAGTGAGTTCTATCCTCACAGGGTACTCCATACTTTCGGCCTTGTGCCATATTTAAGTTTTGCTTAGTAAATCATTATCAACATGAGTCAGAATTAGGGTAAGCAGAACATGATTTTTTTTCTTGAAATCCTTTGTACACATGGTTTTGGTGAACTGTTTAAAATATCAAATATTGCATTGTTTTACTAAATAAAGTAACAAAACTTACCATTAAGTAAACTATTCAACCAAAAAGTACATCTTTGTCCATTGTCCCAAATTATAATTAGTGAATAATTTCTATTAAATCACATTTACTAGGTGCACCTTGATAGAGAATATTTTCTTTTGTCCTTTTATTATTTTTATCATCTTGTTGATAAAATGTTCTCTATCTGGCAACATTTCTCTATTAGTTCCTATCTTACATATGGCCACCAAGTGACTTATTTTTGTCACATTTCTATACATTTTTGGATACCCTAATCTTTTGTAAAGCTAATGAATGTGCTTTGGATTGTGAAACTTGTTGTGTGAAACAGAAATGTGCCATCAGCAAATGTTTGAATCAAAGTTGTAGCCTCTACTAAAATTAAAACACTTTTAAAACCCTTCAATCTATAAAAAAAATCATTCAACTTTTGACTGAATATAATAAATGTTTTGTAAAGATAAAAACAAACACCATACCTCCTGGCGTGCAACATAAAAAACAAGACAACACTGATGTATAAGTCAAAATTCTGTAAAGCGGTTTACAACCTTTACATGTCACAGAAATTTCATTTAAGACAATGTTATCATTTTTTTTATTTTTATGCAACATTTAAAAAACTACTGAACATATTTTTCTAAATTTCATAACAAGTGTACAGTTTTAGGAAACTTCAGCAATTACACATTTTACAGAAAATGTTTCATGATAGAGCATCATAAATTCAGTGACCATGACCATATTATTTTTAAAATTAAAAAAAATGCCCCACCTCAGTATACTTGTAATATTGATTCAAACGATGAAAATTATATTTAATTTGTCCCTTTGACCAAATCTGTTATTTAAAATGCCATATTATATTTTGTTATTATTTTTATTAAAATTGAATTAGGACATAAACACAACTATTTTTTAGGTAGTTTTTCCTATTCACAGGAGAAATAGTTTAGTCAAGTCATTCATTGTTCAATTTCAACAGACTAGAAATAAAATTATTTTGGATAGAAGTTAAGATTAAAATATATAGTTATTATTTTTTTGTCAATTATAATGAATGTTTGTACAATTTTTTAAAAGATTCACTAAATTTTTGAAAGTGTTTTTTGTTTGACGTATCGGAAAATACACACTTCACTTACACTTTCTTTTTTTTATACGTCAAGCAAAAATTTAGGTACCTTCAATACACTGAAAATTGTTTGTCCAGAAACATTTTTTAATAAAAAATGTTAAAATTTAATTAAAATATAATTGTTAAAATATGTTTTAAGATTGCGTAGTAGTACCTCAAAGTAAATAAAAACAACTCGCTCTTAGTTTTGAAAATCAAAGAGCAGATAACCAAGAAAAATTATATGCGCAAGATGTGTCAAGTATCTCATGTAATAAAAAAATTATCGGATGTCTAATATAGTATAAATCCAAATTAACATTATGATTACGAGTATGAATTTTCATGCAAAATCAGGTAAGCAAATCTCGATATTAGATTTAATAGTAAATAGACAATTTACAACTTTAATTAAAACTACCACAACTACATCTTCACCGGAAACGTTTGCGCATTACGAAATGTAACTTTAACTTCATGGGACAGGGACACCTTACGCAGGCATTTTTAACTAGTAGTGCTGGAATGGTAAAATGTTTTTTTTACTTATTTATTTTCATCGTCTTTGTCATCCAATTCATGTATGGATGTTCAAGTATTATTATTTGGTACCGTAATTTATTTTCCCTTGAGGCAAAAAACTGTTGCTCTCTCTCAACAGGCTACGCTTCTTTACACCTTACGAATTATTTACACTAGAGTCACAGTGACAGATAATTTAAATTTTATATCAAATTTAGTTTTATTTGCTTTACGACACGAGAGAAATTAAATTAAAGTATAAAAAAAAAAAAGTTTCATTCGTACAAAACTTAACAGATTTAAAGAAGCAAAAGTGCAAAAGCAAAACCTATTTTGAATGTTGTGTGCCAGGTTTTCTGCGTTTTACTTTTAAGTTTTATTTATCTATTTTTACTATTCTTGTCCTAATTTGGTTTTCTCACGTAAGAGACCCAAAACATCACTGATTACTTTTGCTACCAATGCAATCATCCACACCGTCCCCGACCATGGTAAAAATTCCATCATATCACAGCAGCTGATGAAAGTGTTTGTTGATTATTAACTTGAAGTTATTTGTCCGTTTACTTGGAGCACCATAAAAAGGTTAAAGTCTGCAGTTTCATAACCAATTTATTTGTCGCATCTACAAATTGCTACTCCTATTTTATATGCCGTTTTTATTCTAAAAGAACAAAATATTACATAATGTTTTACGTTCTCACCAACTTGAGTCATCATTACTATTTTTTCCTTTTTTTCGTATCTGCATCATGGTCGAATTTTTAACAGAAAAAAAATTAAGAAAGCTGAAATCCATAGTCTCAAAAAGACTGAGTTTTAGCCAATTTCATTTCATGTGGAATAACAGTTCTAGTTGAAGCAAATGCTTGAGACTTAGAGAGTTGTAAGAATTCTTTGCTTCTAACTAAAAATTGAAGATTTCTCCACTTTTTTTCCTTCTGTAATTAATTTTTGTATCACTGAAAAAACTATAAATATTGTTGGAGTATCACAACCTGTAGAACAAAGTTTTTTTTACTTACACATAGGCTTTACCTTTTTTTTTCTCATTTAGATTTTACTTTATTCAGCAATGTAACTTATTGTCAAACAAACAACAAAAAGTATATCTTCCTTAAATTACTAGAGAATCCTACAATTGAGTGAGCAGAAACATTAAAAATGCAACAAAAAACCTTTGCATCAATTAAAGAAAATAAAGAAATGTTAACAAAAATTATGCTTTTTTATCCTTTTTTTTTATCTTATAGGAAATTATTCAACTTTACAGAAATAGTTTTCTTTTGATTGAATTAATTGACAGAATTAAACCGTAAAAAACGCAATGAGTATCTGTTGGTTTTCCCACTTAATCCAGCAGTGATTTTTTTTTAAGTGTGCATATTTTAATTTAAAACTAAACTACTTAAGTCTTTTATTTAAAATTTTAAAATAAAAGACTAGTAGTTTAGCTCTATTTGATTTTTATAAAAAAAAATAAATTAATTTTCTCTTCTGGCAGATTGAGGGGTGAAAATTTGGCCTTGTTTCAGCTCATGTACAAACAAAAAATGTGGAATTAAATTGGAATATTTGTTTAATGTTCTAATAAGAATGTGTATCTATATTGTTGATTCTTTGTATTGTACCATAGTATTTTTTTTTTTTTTGTTAGTGCAAATATAATTAAATTAAAAGCATTAGTTCCATTTCATCTTCAAGCGAATTTTGGAATAACTTATTTTTAAACTGAGTTTTAAACGCAACTATAAATTCATAATTTACTGTTTCCAAGGATACAGAGAATTCCAATCATTCAGACAGTGGCGGTAAAATATTTTTACTTTTCATATTAGACTATATTTCTTTTTAAAACAAGTAAATGAAGATATTAAATTAGCATTATGTTTCTTCATAAATAAACACTTAGACCAAAACCAAAGAAATTTAGACAATGTAAAAATAAAATGAGATGAAGATAAACAAAAATTATGTAACTGTAGAAATCTCATAACTGTCATCTACAAAATAAATGTTGCATGGAATCATTAGTATACCAATGCAATATTTCATCTATTGAGAATCCTGAAAACAAAAATCTATATAGGTTGCACAAGCCATGAGTTCAAAAAGAGGTTCAATCAATATCAAACTTCATTTAGGATAAATAAATACAGAAATCAGACATCCCTTTCAAAATATTTCTGGCAATTAAAAGAATCCAATAAAACACCTACAGTAAAATGGAAATTAATAAGAAAAGCTAGAATATGTAGGTCATTAAATGACCCTTGTGCATAGATGAGAAACTATATATTACTAAGTTTATAAAAAATAAAAAATTTACTGAATCAGAGAAATGGAATAGCTATTCCTTGACGTCCTTGTCCAAAATTTTCCTTAAATAATATTTAAAAATAAAATTAAAGAAATGGAAGCTGGTAATATACATACTTATATTTGATATGAAAATATAATTTTAAATAATTTAAGTAATTCTGTTACATTTACTTGTTTTAAAAAGAAATATAGTCTAATATGAAAAGTAAAAATATTTTAAAATTGTAGTTAAGTAAAACATATTCTAACCCAAACACCCCTAGATAGAATCTTTAAGTATACAAGTACAATAAAAATGCTAAAAAACTTTTTGCCATTAAAAAAGAAAAAAAAAAGACAACATGCATTTAACGGTTGTCAGAATTTGTTGAAAAATACACCCCTACCCTCCCTAAACTTAACCTCATTTTTGAACATAACTCATAATTGATACAACAAAAGTTAATAAAAATGAACACCTCACAGCCCCTGTCTGAATGATTAGATTTCTCTGTATCCTTGGAAACAGTAAATTATGAATTTATAGTTGCATTTAAAACACAGTAAATTTAAAAATAAGTTATTCCAAAATTCGCTTGAAGATGAAATGGAATTAATGCTTTTAATTTAATTATATAATTAAATTTGAAGTTTTTAGCTTCAGTTTTTGAAACATAGTTATTACTGTGTAGCAAAAAAAAAAAAGCATATTTTCAATCAGTTAATTTATAATACATATATATATATATATATATATATATATATATATATATATATAAATAAACAATAAAATCCCAAATCAACTCATATGGGGAAATAGACTATTTCGGCAGATGAAGATATCAGTTGTCTGTCTTATCAACCCAGGTGTGGACTGAGTTTGTCAGAAATAGAAATTTAACTGTGAAAGCTAAAAAAAGAAAAAATAAGAATCGAAAAACTAATACAGAATTTATCCATTTCAATGTTTCAGTCAGACGAAAGGCACAAGACGGTCTTTCAATTTTAAATTATTTCATTCTTCATATAACCCAAAATTAATGTCATAAGGTTAATATTCAGGTTTAATTTTATAAAACTTCTTCCCTTTAAGACAAATACCTACCTTCCACCATCCCCTGACCCTTGAATTGCTGCTTGCCTGATTCCAGTGACTTGGTCACCATTTTGTGGAAGGTTGAGGTGGTTTGGGGGAATTTGGCCTTATAAAAATATTCAATTTCTCTACAAAGGAAAAAGAAAGAAAAACAAGAAAGCAAATAAAATGTAAATCCAACATTTTATATTCCAGAAATTTGTTTTGCAAAAATTGCTTTTTTTTGTTCAGTTTTTTCTTATGAAGGTAGTTCTCATGCAGCCTGAAATAAACTAAAACACACAAAATGATTGCTTAATGACCTCTTACTATGTTGACTCTAGCTGTTACACCTATCTGTTTATTTGGACTCCACATGTACTGCCTACTTGATATGTTGTCCTTTTATTTTTACTTTCTCTGCAGATGTAGTAGACACAAAATGCATGTGGATATTTAACAGAAAAATGCTCAGTTATATTTGAATGTATGTTACTTGTATGGTATAAAATTTCTAATAACTTAAAAACTATAGATGTTTAAAGCTGAAACTTTGCAAATTAATAATTTGATATGTTTTAAGTGCTGTGTACTTGATATCTATTTCTGTGAATTATAAGTTAATTATAATTTAAGTTGGTATCCACTCAGTAGAGATATCTTATTAATAATTTTCAAGAAAGATGTTTTCATTTTGTTTGAAATTGATTAATTAATAGAATGTTCTAATAATGGGATTGCTATAACTTGAATCCAATTTGTTTTGTTTTTTTTTACCAAATCTTAATTTCTATATATTCTTCTTTCTTTGAAAACAATACAATATCATTAGTATTATTCAATTTACTTTTATCTATGTCTGGGGCCACTTTTGAGTTTTATTCAAAATGTATTGTCTCTGTTAAATACTAAGTTAAATACTGACATGGTTAAAAAAAAATCAATTGTAAGGAAAATTATTTTTGCGGTGGTTTTCATTGCTGCATCCATAAAAATGGGAACATTTTAAATGATAATTTTCCAGCCAAATTTAGCTTATGAAATTATTGAGAAAACATTTTTATATAACATCCCTATACTTTCTATAACATTTAAAACGTATCAATTTAGTGCCTTTGAATATGATGAATAGTTTGCCTGATGAAAGTGGTTCCTTCTTATTCAAGGACTTCACCAGCTTCAGTTATTCTGACTTGTGCATTATTTTCAGAATGTTTTCTTTCTTTTTTTTTTTGTCAATTTGTAGCAGTAAATAGATAATTCAATGTTTTAAGTATGTATTTTATAATCTTTGTATATCTTCATTAGTATTTTTGAATCTACACTGAATATGTTGATATTTTTTAATTATTTTGTAATAAAACCCAACATAAAGATGCAGCCTCTCAGTTGTGAGTATTACTCAAAGAAATGGAAGAGGTGATTTTCCAGAACAGACAACTTGCTCATTTCCGCCATCAACCACCAGTTAGGAATGTACCAGCCCTTCCTCATAGACAAGTACAATGTGAGAGGATCCATATTGATGGAGACATCTTGTCGTAAGTATATTTTTGTTTCCCACTTAATTCTTTTGCTTTACAAAATCTTTTCAGTTACATACTGCTTTCTTTAGTGGTATCTCTATATAGAATAATAATTCTTATTGTTGATAAAGTTATTAATCCTACTAAAATAATTTATAAACATTTTTCTTTCTTTATGTGCTGAGAATATATTTCTTAGAAATCCCAATTTGATTGTATTCTCCAGGTGAAATCTTTGAATTATCAATTACATTCAAAATATTAACTTAAATTTTTAGCATGTATCTTTGATTTAAAAATTTAATTTTAAAAAAAAGTTATTTTGCTTATGAAAAACACTTTGTTTCATGACTCCACTTAACAATAGTAAAATGAATGTATTACATCATTTTAAGGGATAAGAAAAATGAAAACATGTCCAATTCTAAGCAAAATTTTTATAAATAGCAAAACAAATGGAGACATTGTTGAGAATGGATACATTCCACAACATAAGAATAAAGACATATCCTCACTAAACACAAGCAAGGTCATGGTGAGAAACTATCCCTTTATATAGCTGGATGAGGTTAAAACTAATCTGAAACTCAAAATCTTGTAGACCTTAGAATAAGCATGAAAAACAAAACAAATTAAAATAAATACAGTTATTTTCAACATTTCAAAAATAACAAAAGAAATCAAAATAGGTTATACCATCAAAAAATTCAACCAATACATACCCTCCCTTTTAAGAGGCTACAAATGCCAGTAATACTGGCATCACATAGACAAAAGACTTCAAGCACCATGATGGAGAATGCAATGGAGCAATTGAATGCACTGCCATGAAGATCACCTGCCATATGCACAAATGTGTGAAATCTAGAGAAAAGAAGGGGAAATCATAGGGGGTTGAAATATAGAAGAAACCTACCATTCTCGGAGATACAAGACTATAGAATCCCAGACCAAAAATGTTGTACTCTAATATTGTGCAAAAGTCACCTACTACTACAAATGCTAATGAATTAAAATAATTAAAACCTGAAACTCTGTCTACTGTTAACCTCCACAAAATCAAACTAATAAAAAAAAAACTTAAAACCACAAACCATTCCAACAAAACAAAATAGTGAAAAACAAGAAGACGAATGAGATGTTACCAACATTTTATCAACTAAAATTCCCATCTCACAGCATCCAAAATGCACATATTAAACCAAAGTCCTGCAAACAGATTACAAAAATCTCCAATTCAACCACCACTATTAAAGGTTTTTTCATGTCAATGATCCCAAAAAGAGATAAGCCCAAAGAAGCAAGAACCCCCAATCCCAAAATAGAACATACCAACTTACACAAAAGAAACCTGCAATTCCAAAAATCATTTAGAAGCAACAAACCATTTCAACACATTGGAAAAACTGAAAACAGTAAGCAATTTTCCACCTCAAAAACTCAACCAAATGGACAACACCTGAACTCTAGGATGAGAAGAAACAGATTTGTATCTTTTCTAAGAGCATTAATATGAAGTCAGAATTTGAACTTGGTTAACAAATTCCATTAAATAGAAACATTTAAATATTAGGTTAGAACTAAAGTTTGTAAAAGTGTTTAAGTGAATTTAAAAAATATTTAGTTATTTGTACATAGATTTATTCAACCACATATGCACCATTTTGTTCCATTACTGTTCACCATCTTTGAAGCAGCTTCATTATTCCATCCTCCCAGAACTTCGAATCTTTCCAGGTGATGAACTGGTCAGTGTTTTTTACAGGCTTCCATAGAATTGAAGTTCTTTCACAGCTGTTTGAGGTTTCCTATAGCCCCACTGAACTTAAATAAAGTCAATTCAGGTTTTCTATGGTAAAAATTTTCTTTCCCAAGTGAAAATCATCACAAAAAAAATCACAAAGTCATTTTGTCACAGCTTATTTTCTCTGAAAAAAATGGATTTTCATACTTTTATAGGGGTAAAATATTGAAAAATGACTGTTTTATCATCACCTAAACTAATATCAAGGAAACTTTTGATCTGAAGCCCATGAAACTAGTTATTTTCTGAAAGCAAAGGATATATTCTTTCATTTAAAATTATAATCAGCTGGTGTAAATGACTCAAAATTTTTTTCAGTGGGTAAAATGTGAAAAAATAGTGAAAATTTTGCATTTTTTTTTTGTTCTAAACAAATATTTTGCCCATTAATGGGAAATTAACCATTTTTTTTTTTTTTTTTTTTTTTTTTTTTTTTTGGAAAAATCAAAAGCCTAAATCATAATCAAACTATTTCAGGCATAAAATTGAGAGTTTTGAAGGAAATCAACATTCCTAGGGGTTCAAAATGCGACAAAATCCATTGTTAATTTTCAGTTATATGACTGCCAAGGGTTAAAAAAAATTGACACCCAGCCACGGAAATCTTTAGTAAAAGGCAAGAGATTTATCTGCAATTCCTAACCATCAGAAACCAAAAGTTTTTTTTTCCCAAAAATTGGCTGTTAGCGATAAGGAAAATTAAACCTAATTGACTTTGACATCTAGGTCAAAGGTCAGCCAGCCAGCCAGCAATAAATGGCAAAACTTAGAACAAGTTGTAATAAAACCCACCACTCCCAGATAAAAACAAAGAGTGAAAAAAAAAAGGGTTCAACATTACTAGGGCTTGATATAACCTATGTTTGAACAATGGCTTGATGAGTTTTGTTTTGTTTTTAACACCCTGTGACCCGGGTGATGACAACAACTCTTAGCAGACGACATTGTTTTTTTCGCTGCATATTTTTCGTATTTCCCATCGCCGGTCCATTTAGCCGTTCCTTTTATTTAATGATGTTCATGCCAAATGAAAGAGAAAGGAATGAATTTTGAATGATGTTATTTTGAAGCGAAAATAAATATTTTTTCATTAAAAAAAGGGGATTTTTCTCAGAAAATTGGGTATAATTTCTTAATGCTAACCACCGAGTGACATTTTCCACAGCCAAATTGAAGATTAATTACCAGTGAATAATTCCATGTGCAAACAATAGCCGTCTGGATCCTATAAAGTCGCCCTAAAAGGTCCAGAAGTTTACTAATTGATCGAAAACCTGTTGCGCATAATTGTATTTTTCATGGTCAGTTTCCATTATTTCATCTTGATATTATCATTTTCGGACAGCCAAATCATCAAGGATTCAGGAAAACAATTTGGCATAGGTTTTCTTTAAGAACTTTACATTCTATGAGGTGTTTAAAATGTTACTGATGAATGAGATTTTTTGCCGAATATTTCGTTTACGAGCCATGTTGGATTTTCCTATATGACAAAAAACAAGGTTTTAAACAGCCCTGCTTTCTATTAAGAGCATTTTGTATGGATTGAAATAACTAGTAAGCTGTGCCAATTTCTACCAGGTCTGCAAAAGACAAGTTCTGGCATTGTCCTGATGGAAGACAGTATCAAGACACTTCTTATCAATTCATTTCTTATCAATTTCTGCTTTTAATCAGTTTAATTGGGAACAATACTTGTCTGAATTAAATATTTGATATGGTAGAAAAAGCTTGTAATACACAATGCCCTTCCAATCATATCAGATACACTGCATTGCCTTCTTTTGATGCAAATCGGCTTTTGGAATGATTCATGTGGGCTCTTTTTCCCCAGTACCTTTTTTCATTCAACACTGCTGTAAGCAACCCATTTTCCATCATCTGTGATTCTTCTTTTCAAAACTGGATTGTTTTTGTTGCATTTAAGTAGAGTATCTCACATGAAACTGCAGTCATTAATTTTTTTCTCACTAAATTGTGATGCACCCCAAAATTGTAGTGGTTTTCAAATGCCTAACAATGCTTATAACAATATGACATAAATTATTTTTAACCAATGAACTATTGAAAACACTACAAGCTTCTGTTCCAAACCAATACAATTTTGTTGACAGAATTTTCAGTGATATTTTACAACAAATAACCTTCACTATCCTAATCTAATAAATATCACATCACTAATTTTGCAGTATTTTACATGACCCAGGCTTTAATCAAGTTTCAGTTACAGTATAAAATTCAAATGAAATCAAATTATATCATACTTGTCTTTGCTTATCCTAAACTGTTTCATTTTATTTTGATTAATGCTTGATTTCATGACAAATTATAAATAATTACTTTAAAAAAAATTAGTAAAAACTTGTTTAACTGGAGCTTCCAGAATTTATGAATATATTGTTTGCAGGATTAAAAATTCATTCCTACTGTGCTTCCAGTTATACATTGGATTAAATTCATACAAAAATTCTTTTGTCAATGTATGTCATTTTTGAAAAGCTTATTGCATTTCATTTGCTACATGCATATAAATTAGACTGAATCTGTAATGACATTGAAAAATGCTCCAAACCATTTCATTCTCATTAAATTTAATTTAATTTTTTTAAATATTTTTTTTATAAATTGATTTAAGAAAGTTTGCCAAATATGGAGCACCAAAAAGTTCATAAAATCTCAAATAGAAAATTTTTTTGTATATTTTTCTTAATTGTTTTTAATTTTTAAATGTTTATAAATTTTTGATTTTAACAAATCTGGCTCTACATGCCAGAAAAAAAATTGATCAAATCAATAGTATCCTACAAAAATGACATTATTCATTCAAAACAGTATTTCTTTGTTGTTAAAGAGGTCAAGGGCATATATATATATATATATATATATATATATATATATATATGTGTATGTTTATATAAAACTATCGATCTGCAGTACAAAAAAAAAATTCCTATAAAAAAAACTACTACTAAGACATAACACTATATTAATTGAACTATATACTTAGTTCATGACATATTAACTGAAAACACTTGTAAAAATAGAATACGTGGATTTACCACATCACAAAAAAAGTTCAAATAAAATTCTCACTTAAAATTTTGAAAAACTTAGCGTTGCGTCTTTGCATGTTCTGATATTGTACACAACCGTCAATAATAGCACATTCTCAAAAAACAACTTTCGGTCTACAGACACTTATTTCGTCTCCAAGTTTTTGATTTTATAAGGAAAAGATATGCCTGACGATGAATAAAGGATTATTCGAAAGTACTTGCATTTTAAAAAAATATAAACTGGAAACAACAGTTTTATAAATGAGGATCACGTCACTCTATGGATTAACAGTATTTTAATGCATACATTATACACTACTAGCGTTGGATGTCGCTAATAATAGCATTAATATTGCTGATTGATTCTATGCGTGATTATTTCTTTGTATATAAAATATATATATATAGGAACTTTGAACCATTATTTTATATATGTTGAAATTGAGACCTATTATTAGTCCAAATAATAAGCATTACATTTTCCCTATGAAACTGTTTTGTAAGGTTACTAACAGTTCTTTTAATTCTTCCTTCCTTGCAGAATTATTTTCATTTCTAAACTTTTTTTTCCAGGTTAATATATGTACTTTTGTGCATGTTTTTCAGATACATGATCAATGATGAGGATAAAGTTGGAGTTTATATATCAGCTGATGCTCTCACCCAAGAAAAAAATTATTTTGAAATTGAAATCTTAGATAGTGGTTTGCGGGGAACCATTGGTATGAGAATACAAGTTGCTTTACTTATTTTATTTCTATTTACCACATTTTAACATTCTAATTTATTTAGTACTTTCTGCCATTCAGTTCTTAAAATATCATTCATAAATAAACACATATTTCATTTGAAATTAAAAATTATTAATTTAGAATGTATAAAAGATTATCAGATACTTAAAATTTTGTGTTTAATACTCTTTCCTTTCCTTTTTTTTTTTTAAATTCTTCATTTCACAATTGTTATATATTTGGATTGATACATGGTTATTATTAAATGGTTTTATTTTAAATTCATATATGAAAAAGCATTGTATAGCCAAGAATTGAACATTAGATTAGAAATATGGCTGAAATTAATAATCTGAACATATGTCGGTTTACAAACTAACAAATCTACTTGGTTTTGCATTCATTTTACTAATGTTTGTTACATGTTTTCTTATTTAAGATAGGGATAAAAATTTATTAATATGTTTTCTTTATAATTTTGTAGCCATTGGTCTTGGGCCATCTCAATATCCTCTTGATTGTAAACCAGGATGGAATGTTGATTCTGTTGGCTTCCATGCAGATGATGGCAGGCAAGTATTGATAAGTGTTTGTATCTTAAATTTAAAAGATTTTGGGAAAACCTGACAATTGTTATAATTCATTTTAATTATAAAACTATTATTCATTTTTAAAGAAGAAAATTTTACAAAGTACCAGTGAAATCTTTAACAACACATTGAACATGCCACAGTTGTCATTCAATTGTAGAGAACTGTGTGTCTGACAAGAAAAATAAATACAAAGGAATTTAATAATCAAATTTTTTAACTTGATGTATAAAATGTTTTGGGGATTTTTTTTTTTTTTTTTTTTTTTTATATTAATGTTTCATTCCAAGAATCACATTTATTCAAACTTAACGCATCATTTTATAGAATTTATGTTTGTAAAATTTATGTACAAAACGTGATTTTTGTACATTTTCATTCCTAGATTATACAAAGGTTGTGGTCTTGGGCGCCCATTTGGTTCCAAATGTTTATCTGGTGACCGGATGGGATGTGGAATTAAATTTGACCAAAATGATGCAAGTGGCATGCGCCTTCTAGTGAAGGTTTTTTTCACTAGAAATGGAGAAGAGGTAAGGTACATATGTAAACAATTGAATTATTGTACTTGATTTCATTAAATAAAATTGATCAAAAACCTTCTTCATACATACAGATATCTTCACCTATTAAAATAGGGAAAATAGAAAAGATTCTTAGGAAACTAAGAGTAGCTATAATGATTGTTAAATTTAAATAAAAAATACTTTTATTTAAAAGACATTTTGTAAGATTGTTAGAATAAATTCATTTATAAATATCTTTGTGGTCAATTACTACTAATTTACTATAATGAATAGGAATTTAAATGATTGATTTGTTGTTCTAGTTTTACTAATTCAATATCATAATTTTGTGCAGAAAAACAAATTTATTTCTTAATCCTGGATTATCTTAATCTAAATTTAAAAAAGACACTACTTCAAAATTATTGTAAATAATTGTTAGTTTATTTTGTAGAATATTGATGTTGACAAATTTTTAATAATTTCAATTTTATTTGCAAAGTTGATAAAATAAAACCTTGCATCATTGTACCTTTTACAATTGGCTTTCTGTAATGGTTGTCAGACATTTCAAAAGCAACATTTTTTAATTTAAAAATTGCTAAGTTCTTAGGCCTGAAGTGAAGTCAATGTGTCTCTATATTCAGCTAGAATTTTTCTTTGCAGATTGGAACAGTTGTTATGCCATGGCCACATGGTGGTTTACATCCTATAATTGGATTACATTCAGAAGGAGAAGAAGTAGAGTTACATTTGGACAGTCATTGGAATCATGATGATGTAATTCTTATGGCTGTTGATAATGTAGATGATGAATGGTCTCGATTACACCAAGTTCGCCTTAATGGATGTGTAAGGGATTATCTTTTTGCTCATCAATTGTCTCATTAAATATAGAACTGAAGTTATTCTTTCTTCATTAAATTTATATTGTCTAAGAAAATATTACAGAACTTGAGAAATTATTTTGGATAGGAGATGGGATGTTTTACAAGCAATTTTTAAAATTCTGCAATTTTTTAACCTACAATTAACTGAAAAAGCTTTGCAATATTTTTTATACCTGTATATGATTTTGTTTCAAATGTACATGAACATTAAACCTTTTGAAACTTAAGTCAGATTTTCATACTCTTCATTTAATCCATGCTGTTTTGACCCATGTATCTTTCATTTATTTATAGATGGTTGCTATTTTGATCCTTTTTTTAAAAAAATAAAAATAAAAAATAAAAAAATGTTTTTAAAAAAAACGTTTTTATTTCTAAAAATGTTTTTAAAAAGAATGTTATATATTTATCTTTTCATCAGATTTTGGAATATACAGGTCGGGGTAAAAAAATTATTGATGTTGGGCTAGCTCAAGCTCGATCCCCTCTTGACCCAACATATCATTACTTTGAATTGGAAATTGTTGATCCAGGAGAAAATTGTTACATAGCCATTGGGCTTGCACGGCGAGTGAGTCTTTTTTCTTTTCCATTATAATAATCATCTTCCATTGTGAAATTCTAGAATATCATTATCTTATCTCATTCTTCCTATTTAATGGAGCTCTTTTTATATTCACAGGATTATCCAAAACATCGACATCCAGGGTGGAATAAAGGCTCTATAGCATACCATGCTGGTAGGTTTTGTTTTTATATTTATAAAATAAAAGCTTTACATAGTAGTTTCCAAAAAAGTTGAAAGTAATAGTTAATTCAAGCTGACTTTGTATATGATATTCTTATATATACAGTTGATTTTGTATTATACTTGAACAGATGATCTTTATCAGATGGTTTTTTTGAACTTATACATGACATAATACTGCTAAGCTTTTTCAGTTAACTTTTGTCTGGGTGGTAATAAGGTCTCAGCTGTGTTCAAATAATGAACCCTCCAAACAAAAATAAATTCTTTGGAATTTCAAACTTTCACTGATTTAGAAGCATTACTTCTATAACATGCACTTTATCTTTTTTTTTTTTTTTTAAATTTGTTTAAAATAAGATTTGACTTGCTAGTATTCAGTGCAGTGAGAAAAAAAAATCCCAGCACCTAATTAGTTCTCTATAATGAGGATTATAGATATTGTGGGGGGAGGGGCTGATTTTATAAATTCTCAATGGCAATTCACAACCACTGAAAATATAATTTAACTACACTCTCAGATTTTATCATGCAAGTCAATGTTTTTACTTGAAAATTGGTATTAACCAACTGATGTTGGTAAAACCTTCAGGATATATTTATATGCTACTATGTAAATTTCAACTATATTCTTATAAAAAATATTGGTAATAACTTGTTTTGGGAGTGTCAGGTTTTACTTTGAAAATAAACTAAGTGTAAAATGAATTTTTATTCATAAATAAATCCAAAAGATAGACACCACAGAAACTTACCATAATTATTCATGTATAATATGCACATATTTTCTCCATATTTTTAGGGAATTAAAGTTAAAAGTATTTATTATGTATGTATGCAAACTAAATATTAACTTTTTTTTCAGCAACGTGTATTACCATATTTGGGACAGTGTCACTGAAAGTTGTATCTATGGTCCAAACTAATCAGTGTGTAAATCACTAACCAAATACCTTTTTGGTTTTTACAAAAAAATATTCATATAAAGATATTAAGCACATTTTAGTCTGTTTCAGTGCTGTCCATATGTTGCTGAAACTTTCAGATAGATGTCATGACAGTTTCAGCATAGACGTCTTTGTCATCTTTTGATGTTGTTGTTTTCCACACAGTGTTCTTGTCCTTAGTTCTTGAAAAGATATCTTTACTACTATCCAGTGCATTTTCAATGGAACAATTTTTGAATGATTTTGTCATGATGCTTTCAGGGAAGTTCTGCCAGCCTTCCACTATCCATGTATATCTAAGAAAAAGCTCTAGCCATCAGTGACTTGTGTCCCTCTGCCAGCCACTCATCCCACTTGTTAGGAACAATCAGTTTGAATGGCCTGTTAAAGTTGTCATCCCACCATGAATATTTTTATTTTTTTACAGTGAGTCACCCTTTAACAGGGGTCACTCAAGGTAGAGGGTTACGTTAGGAGGCCATTTGTGCATTTAGGTGAGGGAGATAATGATTAACCCTAGCCTTGAATAGGTTAAGATTGTAGTGATCAGGGAAACAACCTGTTGGGAGTCGATTCCACAGGGTAGTGGTGTGCGGGAAGAAGTTGTATGATGGAATATGGAGGGAATGGGAATGCTTTGCTATTATATAATTGGCATGGTGTGTTCATGCCAAGAAGGTTTGCCTTGACAGGACCAAGGAATGTAGTTTGTTCAAGCACTTTTCATGGAAATAGCAGTAGTGCAACAAGAGGCTTGCTACATCCCACCTGTGGGAGAGGAGTTTAAATATGGAGAATAATTTGTCACCCACAAGGACTCTGAGACACTTGAACTCTATCAAGGCTGGAGAGTGAGGTCTTGGCAGCTTCTGCCCTAATATGACAACAGTATTCTATTTTTGGCTTTATCTGACTCTTGTAAAGCTAGAGGATAGCAGGAGGAGTCAGGTACTTACTGGAGTGATACAGGAAACCAACCATTTTACCTGCATCCTTAGTAACGGATCATATGTATGAGTTCCACTTGAGCTTGGGTTTGAGATTGAAGACCAACAGTCTTCCAAGCACAGTACTTCCCCAAGAGGAACTCTGTTCATTTTGATTGGTGGTAGTTTGGGGTCAGATCGGCGATGATGGAATGTAACTAGCTTGGTCTTTGAGGCATAGAATGTAACCAATCATTTTTTACCCCATTGGTTAGTTTGTACAAGATTGAAAAAGAGATCAGTTGCCAATTTCTGGCCATCAAGAGTTTTAGAGGTGCACCCTTATATAGTCGTATCATCGGCATAGATGCTTATAAATGATCCAAGTATATTCTTAGGTAGATCATTTATATAGATTAAAAGAGGGTTGGTCCAAGGAGTGGCCCCTATGGGATGCCTGCATTGACTGATAGTGCACCAGAGGACTGGCCATTAATAACTACCTTCAGGGACCTACCTGTTAGGAAGGATTTTATGATCAAAATGACCCTTCCAGTGATTCCATTACTGGAGAGCCTGTGTAGTAAACCTTTATGCCATGCCTTGTTGAAGGCCTTTGATATATCTAATGCTATGGTCTTCAAGGTGTGTTTGTCATCAAAAGCCTCACTGATTCTGTGAGTGGTGGTAGTTAATCCATTAGCAAGTGGATTGGGCTGAGCAAAACCCATGCTGCTTATTGCTGAAGAAGTTTTTCTTTTCTAGGTGCTCAATGACCTTCTTATTGATTATTGCTCAAAAAGCTTACTGAGAAGACTTATGGGTCTGTACTGGGAGGGAGAAGATTGTGCACACATATTCTTGAAAACCAGGCATATGCTTCACACTTTCCACAGGCTTGGGAAGGATATCTCTTTCAAGCAGTGGTTGAATAACTTTGCTAGGATTGGAGATAATTCCAGGTTGATATTCTTAAAGACAATCACTGTAATTTTGTCTGGGGAAAGTGGCTTTCTTAGGGTTAAGGCCTTTGATAACTCTAGAAACTTCTTGTACTGTGATGGTAATATTACTGAGATTATGCTCATTGAGACTTGGGAACTTTGGGAGGGGATGGAATTTGTTATCTAATGTTGAGTTAGAGACAAAGATAGAGGCAAAGAGGTTCACCTTATTCATCGAGGAGGATATAACTTCTGGGCCCTTTATAATTGTGAGCACAGCCGCTGTCCCTGATTTGGTTGATCTTCCAAAATTCACTGGATTCAATTTGTTTGTTTTCAACCTTGGTCTGGCTGCTCATGTGTAGCTGTGCTTGGTGTTTTCTAGAACCTTTTTGCAGCAATTGTGGGCAGTTCTAAAAGCATTGAGGGCTAAACTACATAGTTCCTTGCAATAGATACTGAAGTTGTAGTTTTGGTGGGTTATGGCTGCAGTTCATTCAGAGGTGAATGAGAGTTGGCCGTGGAGAAGTTTCTGCAATATCTGCCTTCAAAATCTGTTGGAGTGGAGTAGCCATTCTTTATGCTGGATATTAAAGCCATGCAGATATGAAAGCTGTCCAAGGGAAATTGAGTAAAGATATTATCAATTTTCTCTGATATATGGTCGAAGATCACCGTCCCTTCGTTCTGAGGACAATAGAGAGTATGCCATGCGGAAACACATATATGGGAAATCAGGTTCCTCATTTTTTTTGTTTTACCTCAGGGAAACTAGTCCTTGATGTAGGCTCCTAGTCCCTGGCTGTAACATTTTAGGTGGTCCTGTTTAGCTATGAACTTCACTAGTGCGCTTGAAGTGTTGATACCAGTTTCAGAAAGTAACTGGAGGTCTGGTTGAGTCTGAAGATGGTGTTTCACTTTTGGAAAGTTGGAACATAGCCCCCTCAAGTTGGTGTAGGAGATGGTATACATGGGGTCTACTTTGTATTTTTTTTTTTTTTTTTTTTTTGTTAGGATGGGTTTGCTAGTTTTGTTCATTTGCATTTTAACTGGTTTCATGTGTGCATTGGTTGTTTGAAGACTAGTGAGCAGTGAGTCACACTCACAGGAGTTGCAAGTAAAAATACCTTGAAGAGAATCGTCCAGAGATAGAGCCGTACCAGTACTCTTCGGCATGGCATCGAGAGGCCCCTCCGATAAGTACTGCACGGTCCAGAGACCATTCATGAAATGGCTGTACAATAGCCCCAGATATTATACACCTTCTGATAGGATAGCCTCCTTTGAAGTTACTTAAAGGTTCTGATCCCTGACTATCAGGTGGATAACGGCAAAACACCAAAAGTGTCTACCTCCAGCACCCTTAATGAAGAGACAATCAACCAAGGAAAGAAGATACATGCATGATGCTGTGAGCAGATATGTCATGTCTGCCCAGAGGCCAAGGCAACAGAACTTCTTGGGTCAGAAACAATGACTAAAAGACCCATTAGGAGAAAAGGGAGTAATGTGGGTTATTCAGGGATGCATGTGCATACCCTACTCCCATTTAAATTATTATAGTAGATGGTTACAGGGCAGGGGCATGTAATGGGCAAGTTAACTATTCGAAAAAAGAGAAGCCTTATAGATTTTGGGTGAGGGTTATGGACAGAAATTCTGAAACAGTTATAAAGTTTTAACTTAGCAAAAGTGCCAGTGGACATACTCCTTCGCAAGTAAACTAAACTAGAAAAAACATCCATTAAATGTCCAAGCCAAAGGAATCATCAATGAATTAATGTGCAAAATGTTTAGAAAATAGGGGAAGAAGAAAAAATAGGAAATAAAACTTGTGCATATACTTTGGTGAAAGAAAGAACAAAAGAGGGGGGGGAAACAATTCAGAAAGGGAATTACGATTGCCTACATACACTCAAGACACACACTGTTTATGGTAGGATTGGTTTTCATAGATTTCAGTTGCTGTTTCACATCAACCTGTCAGTGGTATCTGAATACCTTGAGAACAATTAAGGTTGGTTGTTTCAACAGCCCACATTGTTTAGATATTGTTGTATATAATCAAACCAACTCTCTTGTGAACTCCTATTCCTTCTGGAAATGTCTCATTGGGCTCATATGGCGGAAGTGTTTTTCCATTACCAGTGATAGCAGACAGTAATAATGATCACTTCTGTTTTACACTACTACAGATAAATAGCCACAAGCCACTGAAATGTGTGTTTATAATTTTGTGTGAATTTGCCTGTGCATTTATTCTAAATACTGTATAAATTTTATGTTTCATAGCTTAATATAAACTATATAGATTTTTATATTTTATTGTCAATAAGAAACCATTAAAAACTGCTACAATTTCTAAAGTCTGCATGTTATACATGGAGATTTTTTTTCTCTCCCTGCAGAATTTCATGACCCAAAGTTAAGATTGCTTATTATACACAAATAATTACAGTATTTGATTGACACAATATTCTATATACCTAAATAAATTACGGTTTTATTCTACATGTTAATATGAGCACCTTTACATACCTTCCTTAGTCCATTGATTTTTGTTAACTTTTCTACTCTTTCGACTTTAACCTTATTTGCAGCAGTTTTTATTAATCCCCAAAGATCTTTGCTTCAATATTGGTTTTCCATTCATCTCATTCAATGATGTGTCCAAAATTTTCTACTGGATTAATATGTGGAAATGCTATGTACCATTCTGTTAATTTGGTATCTTTAAATCTTTTATGCAGAAAGTGAAAGCACATTGTCCTGCATGAATATACTCTTTAGGTTAAAGCCTCTTAGTTGTAACCTGTACCATTCAAAAGTCACCTTGCTCAAGAAATTACAATAATTCTCTTCATTTATCCTGACGCTGTCAACTTTTAAGGGTCTCATTTTGCTGCCTATAGGTGATCATGGCTCTACACAGATACCTTTTCTTTATATGTAAATTGTCATGATTTCTTGGAGTAGCTTCTCTATCGTTTTGAATTCTCTTAGACTGGCTATCACCCTAGATCAAGAGAACTCCGTATAGCCTGCTAGTTAAACTATGAATTTCCCCTTTTTCTAAGGGCATTAGTGCAAAATGAATGCAACATAGTAGACCAAAAATTGAATTTGGCTCACTGATACTAATAACCATTGCAAAAGGGTGAGTTCATAGGTTAAATTTTTTCATAATTTTCCAACATTGTGTTCCCATGGTATATTTATCATATAAATATATCCTGAAAAGTTTACCAACATTGGTTGGTTAATGCCAATTTTATTGTGAAAACATTGATTTGCTTAATAAAATCAGGTATAGTGTACATTCTACACATACACACACATTTCTAATATTAAATGCTCATGACTTTAATTCTTGTAGGTCAGGGCAGTTAAATACAAAACCGTTCATGATGTCTATCATTAGAATATCAATTTTCTCAAATTCAGCATTCTTGCAGTAACACTTTAGATAATTTCCATAAATTTTGAATTTAAAATAATTTTTAATCTATTATGTTGCTCATTAAATCATATAGTTTACTTCAAAAGAATTTAGGATTTCTTGATAAGTGAAACTTTTACTTTTATTCAATGTTTCTTCTTTTTTCTTTACTTGATTTTGTTAATATTTTTACAGTTTGACCAAAAGCAAATACATAGATTGAAGAATTAATTTTGGTGATATAGACCACAAAATATAACCTTATTTTTATTCATGACATAATTGCAATTATCATATTTGTTTTTGTTTTTTTTTTTTTTTTTTAATCTAACTCCATATATTTACCAATAGATTGAGATTCTAAAAATCAAGAGTAGTTTATATTCTGGTTATGGAATTTCATGATTAAGAGTTGCATGTTATCCATTCTAACTCTTCAATAATTTCACAAATATAATTTTATTATCTTTCTAAGCTTAATAATTTTCTGGCTAATTTTTAAATATTCTTTTTATTGACAATATCGATTCACAGCTTTTATTTAGTCATCATTGCATTTTGCCAGATGCTTTTCTATCACAATCAATTCTAAGAATACGAGCACCATCAATGCATTTTATTATATAGCGACAGAAAATAAAATTTCAACACTTGAAATTATTTCAACTTACTCAAGATTGAAATTACATAGATGAATTAAAGTAAACTATCACATATACCATATACAGATCAATAAGTGCACAGGTTTCAGAAGATATTTACCAACACCTCTCAATCCATAATTAATGTGCTATATATCCACCTTGGACATTAATATCAGCCTGTACTCTCACATGCCCACCATTGTAGAGATGGTAAATGCCATTCTGCAATGGATTATTCCAGGCCTCTTGCACCTGTTGACACAATACAGCAAGAGTTGTAGGTGAGCAAGCCCTACGAGCTGTTCTATAGATGTTCAATGGACCTCAGGTCTTGTGATCATACTGGCTAAGGAAATTGTCAGACATCTTGCAAAGGTGAGTGGGCATTATTTTAGTAGAATAGCCAGTAGAATGGATTGAATAATGTTCTGGATCTACATGCTGCTGTTCAGTCTTCCCTGTAGAAATACCAAAAACAAACAATAGTTGTAACTTATGGCACTCCATACTGTGTTGCTAAGGATTGTTGCTTCCTACATCTGTCTCACACACAAACAAGCATTATTTATCTGAAGGCAGAACCTGCTCTTATCAATAAACACTGTGTTCAGTGGATGAGAATAGGTACTGCCCTTTGATTACCCAGGTGACCATCTCACAACCTCATTAGTGATGATGTACACAACTGGGTTGTGACATAAGTGGAAATCTGGCTAGGACACATATTTTCTATTAAATTTCTTGGATATTCAGGTCCGTAAATGTAGTTAATACTGTTTATTATATACACAGCATTTACTTAAATATTTGTATCTATAAAAATAACGTATGAACACAAAATATATTAAAATATCTTTCTAGTAAACACATACAACATTTGACTGAATATTGTTTTATAATAAACCTTTTAAATTCATTTTTTGTTATAAAAACAGCAAGTTATACTTTTTCATTTTAATCTAGATTTCCTTTTTATTTTTCCTTTTTATATAGATGATGGCAAATTGTTTGTAGGGTCAGGAGTTGGTGAACAGTTTGGACCCAGATGTCACAAAGGTATGAATATTTATTGAAATTAACTGAAATATGTATTTATTACTTTTATAAAGAACGTAAAATATATATTTACAAAGATTTTTTTCTTTTCTAATCAGCACAAATTATACAGACCAAATTTGTTTTTCAATTTTTTTTATTAAAATAGCTGCATTCTATATATAAAGCTCGGTTGTACACACTTTTAAATTTATTTTTTAACTGTAGGTGACCGGATGGGATGTGGTATATTATTTCCACGAGATTATAGAGCTGATGTAGACAGTGGTGGTTCTGCTCCCAGTTCTCCAGAGGAAATGGATGATTTGATTGATGTTGAAGATTATGTGGACACTGATTCTGATGATGGGGAAATTTGGGATAAGCAAACATCAGAAACAAACATTCAGGTAAGTTGACAAGCACTTTTTTTTTTCCTAAATACCACTTTACAAAGTAAGTCTTGATTGTCTTCTATCATTGTCAGTTTGCTGGAAAAACAGATTAAAGCCATACATTAAGTTGAGGATATAAAATTTGATCTTATCTCTCGAGTAAAACTTTTTTATCATTTTCACGTAAATAGGATTTTTTTTCCCTTTTTAGCTAGTTTTCATGTGCAATATTACATTTTTTAAGAAATATCTATCAAGATAAATTATGAGTAACAAGCTAGGAATTATCTGTGAATATACAGAATTCACTCTAAAAATTTATAAATTGTTCTGCTTATATAGCAATTGTCAAATTTCTGGTTCCATAAAAATATATAATGCTTTTGATAATTATGCATTTGGTGTGTGCAAGAAATACTTTTTTGAAAGCTGTATTTGAAATGTTTGCATACAATTATCATGGATACAACTTATAAAAAATATCAGCTTTTATTTACAAGCTGATCACCATTGACATCAATTGTTTCAAAATGATTAGCATGAAAATATAACTGCAACTAAAATGAATTGTCAAAACTTCTACAATAAATTTGAAAATTATGCAGAGAATTATCACAAGGAATAAAAATGACTGAAAATTACATTTACAAGCAGGCAGACAGAATGAAACATCTTGCATACATTTTTTTCAAAAATTCACATAGAAAACTTTTTGAAATTATTTTAAAACTTTTCAAATTTTAGTTGATACCCAGCATTCCCCAAGAACTCAGTTTGGTGATAATTTAATAGAAAAATAATTATTTAAAATGCTTTATGGTATTTGTGTTTGAATTATAATTTCTACCGAGAAAATCCTTATTTTATTTGTAAAAGATGAAAAGAAATAAACAATTCAAAGAAACTTTTTCCTTGACTTGAAAAGTCAGCTGAAAGTTTCATGAAAATATCATCAATTGTTTTGTGACAAACAATCTTCACCACTTTTGGTCAATTTGTGGGTTAGTTTTCACATATTTTCCATACACATATACTTTGGATTTAAATGACCATGTGATCCTTTTTGTTTTTTTGTTAGAATTTAAAAAGACTGACATATATATGTATTTTGTGTATTTACTTTGATTAGAGATTGAGTGGCCTTTGATTTTTAAAATATAATAAAATATTATTGAGACTGGAATTATTCAATAAGCCAAGATTTTTCTCTTTAGTCAATTTTTTTTTTTTTTTGCTTGAAGAAACTTTGTCACTCAGCTTTAAGTCCACTCAGGATTTTTGCCAATTGCTCAATTACTGAGAAAGTTAAGCAGAGAAGAAAGAAGAGAAGACAAGTAGAAATTATAAGAACAAAGGCCATTACTTAATTTAAACTACAAAAAATTTATTTGACTTTAGTAAAACTCTAAATGTGATTAATATTGATTTATTTTTATTATTTATATAATAATAAAAATAATTCAAAATTCAAATACACCAGGGGGTTCCCAACCATTTTTGGGTCATCACCCACTTTTGCATGGAAAAATTTTCCACTGCTCACCTGTATAGTAAATGTTCAAACGCATACTAAAAAGTTTGTTACTGGTTCGTAAACTGACTTTATTATATAGTAAAAAAAAAAAAAAAAAAAAAAGAGAGGTAACAAATAGCACTGACATGCATCAACTGCTGCTACTACTACTGTAATATCTGAGGATGCCTGTCTACTAGGGTCGCTAACCAATGCCTGTTGCTAAGGCACATTTGTGTTTTTTCAACACCCACAGAGCCCACCTGGGGTTTATACTGCAACTATGCTGAGCAGACCTTAGTTACAATTTCTGGTGTGATCAACAGTCTGAAAAGGCCAGCACACTCAAACCCACAGTCACCATGACTTATGACTTTGTGCTAGCACAACCATCACTGGCTCCCAAATAGTTCCATCTACACAATTTCAAACCATGGTATGGTTTTCAGGTATATTCCAATGGTGCAACACACTGGGCTTGCCTCTCCCAGAGCAATAACATCAAGAAGTTATCTTCCTGACAAATCAACTATGGTGAGATTAAAAACCACGTCTCATGGTCAGGAAGTGAATGTTCTAACCACTCAGCCACTTGCTATTAACTACTTCATTAAAGAACAAACAAAAGCAAACTTGAACATTGAAAACACATATATATTCCGATTTCTTTTTGAATTTGTAGGTCTGATGAATTGGATTGTTATTTCTGATTCCAATGTAATAAATTATAACCATGGAATATTAGTGTTTGAGCCTTTTATATTATATTCTTACTCTGTCCTGGACATTGAATTCTACCTGGATTCTATCCTCTTGGGAATTTGCGTGTGTGTGTGTATATATATATATATCTCGCACATGTAATACCAAATTGTAATTGGTAGAGATTATTCCAAAGAGGACTTTCTTTTAGTTCATATGCGAGCTCAATATATGATACAGAGCAAGTTATAATAATAATTAAGAAAAACCCTTAAAAATCTATATTCAGTAATAAATTTATTTCGATGAATGTAAGCATATTCATCTCATCAGACCGACTACATTTTATGAAATGGAATCAAGATATCTCAGACAGATATACAAAAAATAAAAAAGTTTTCTTTTTTATATATTAGTCTCCTTTTTCCTTATGTTGTTCATTGATAAATATTTGTTTTTCTGTTCTGCCCATGTTGAACTTTATCTATTCAACCATTTTTATCTATATATCTTTGCTTGTATAAGTTAAATTTTAATAGGATGTTAAAATTCGTTTAATAACACTTTCAAAATTGAATATTTCTTAGTGGGTGTATAATATGTCTTTATCAATGTATCAGTGTGTATGTGCCTGTCTTTGTCAGTGTGTGTATGATCGTTTGTGTGTGCCTTTCATTGTGTATGTTGTCCTTTTTTTTCTTTTCTTTTTTTTTTTTTTTTTTAAGGGTTGTGAACATATTTCCTGTCTCTGTCATCATTTTTTTGCGTGTTTATATATCCAAATATGTCTGCGTGTTTGTGTATTATAATCTGATTGTGTTATGTATTGTCTTTTGCAAGATTTCATCTTCCCCTGCCAATATCACCACTTCAAATGTATCTAAGTTGTAACGGAGTTCAGAGCAGCATTGGATCTTAACGTTTATTCCAACTTAATTTCAATAAAAACAAAATAATTAGAAAAATATATGTATTTTTTCCTCAGTTTCTTCTTTAAATAATTTTATAATTAATATAGTTTAAATTTAAAATTCAAAATTGGTCATTTTTAATTTTATAGTATAATTTAATATTTATTAGTAAGAATGAATTCTATTTTAGTCTAACCCTAATATTAAAGCATTAAATAATTATTATAACCAAAGTTCATTGTCAAGTTTTTTTCATTCTGGTCATTCCAGCTTATGCAACTGCATTTCCCCAAGCAAGGGGTGTTTGATTGATTTGAACCTTTTAAAACCCTTTTATTCTATATTCAACCCCATCACTTGATAAGACACCAAAAGTGTTGAAACAAAATGGCTATTTTTGTAGTGATTTTATAACATATTTGTTATTATTTTCGAATAAATATTTATATTTGCTCTACTCTGTATTGAGCACTCTTTTAAGAATAGTATTTGTTGGTTATTGGAATTTATTCCATATACACCAAATCTATACATTGTTAAATATGTATATATATATATATATATATATATATATACATACACACACACACACACACATATACCAAGGTTATGCACACATTTACGAGCTGAGGTACCCGGTGTACACAGCTGCAATTGTATAACTGCACACACAGTCTAGAAATGTCTGCTTGCATCCCACTTGAATGTCCCATCCGTTTGGTATACTAAGTTACTCCCATCTCATTTTTTTTTTTTTTTTAATGGTATGTCCTTCACAAGTGTTTGATGGTTCTTAATAAAGGAATTCCATCGATAAAACCTTCTTGTGTAGCACTGTTCATAAATTTGATAATCAAACAGTTATATACTGTACCGATGAACAGTAATGGGTATGTCCCAATCCTCATAAATACGCTGGACACTATTGTAAGGGCAGGTAATATGCTAAGAAGTCCACCACTAGCAGTGGTTTACCTACTTCACGCCGCTGGTGAGTATTGCATTTTGTTGATGTTATAAAGATTACCATTTCATTTCCAACCTCCATTTTGGTTATTCCTCATTCAGTAACTCTTCCTAGGTTACAACATTTTGGTGACAAAGATTTGACCAAACTCAAACATTCACCAGTCCAATGTTTGGCAAACAAAGATTTTGACAGAACAGAACTCACATAAACGTTCACAAATATGGTATTCTACGAACGAAGATATTGGTAAAACTCACATAAAAATTTACCAAGGCAACATTGGCAAAGGAAGATCAAGAAATTACTAAAGCTACAAAGCATCTTTAGCTACAAGGATTTTCTAAGGTTTATGTGGATATTAACCAAGTTGTTTGAAATACAACATTCAGAAAAATAAGGGACATTATTCCAACTACAAAGAACTAGAAACGTATTTTTCAATTTACAGAAATCATGTATTGTTGAGAGGGTTTCTCGGTGTTACATTGGAAGTTGATTAGTAGGAAGATTTAAAGTGTTTTTAAGAGACAGTTGTGTGTTTTTTTTTTTTTTTTTTTAAAAAAAAATACTTTTGTGAAAAGTTAGTTCACATAACAGTACAAAATGGAGGATTTTAAAACAGCTTTAGTGGAAATAAAACAAGATGAACAATGGAGACATTACAAACAAAGACTTGAAAAATTCAAAGAATTGTTTGTAGAACAACAACAGAAAATGTCAATGAGCAACAAGAACGAAGATTCAGGTGTTTTTTTTTTTTGATACTATCATAAATGCGATTGAATTCAATTATATGCCAGAAGAAGAGGTACTATTTTCATTGTATTTCCGTAGATATGAAGACCTTTACAAAATGGACTGTGCAAATTGGTCTGGCCACAAAAAGTCAGTCTAGTGCTAAGGAAACTAGGTGTCTGTCGAAACTCACAAAGTTCGTAAATTACATGTTACCAAGAAAAACTAGTGACCTAATGTTTAAAGAAACAGTTACTTTGCTTTCTGAAGTGTCCAACCCAAAGACGTTATTCCATAAAAGTTGCATGAACTTAGTAAAAAAAGGAAGATGAAGATTTTACAACATTCACTAGCATTGTGAAAGATCAGTGTGAAGGGTTCAAACTGGCAGAATTAAGCCCTGACAATTTTAAATGCCTGATATTTGTTCAAGATTTAGTGTCAACAAAAGACACTGAAATCAGGAGAAGGGTTTTAAATAAACTTGATAATGAACCCAATCTGACTTTACAAAATGTAGCAGAAGATTGTCAGAGATTTATAATTGTTTGACAAGATGCCAAAAATATCGAAGTAAGCAGTATGTTGCACATTAAAAAAAAATGCATCAAGAAAAAAAAATTTTACTCCTAACTCGGGTTATGCACGGGAGAACTACATTTTTATAATGACTGTCCATTCAAAAAATAAAGAATGTTTTCATTGCAAAAAAAAAAAAAAGGACATAGGAAAACTCACTGTAAGGTAAAAGTAAAAAAAAAATCAGTGAATAATTATGTTAAAGCTACTAATGTGGATGAATCTACTGGTTGGAATATAAGGAAATTTGTGCAGGTAAAATCTTTAACAAAAAATATTAAATTACAATTAGATAATGGATCCGACTTAAGTATAATAAATGTATATACATGGAAAAAATTGGAAAAACAACATTAATGATTGCCAAAAAAATCACTTGTAGTGTTACAGTACAGAAAATAAAGTTCAAAGTGGAATTTATAACAAATGTGATGTTGAACGAGAAAACCTTGAAATTAAGACTGTAATGAAAAAATACAAATAACCTTTTTTTTTAACAAACTGGAATTATGCAAATTATTTACAATAAACACACATCAAGAAATGTATAAAAACAAATCGTTTTGGCTTTTGGAAAAAAAATTGGCCCTAGCTGTTTTTCAGCAAGTAATGGATAAAATGTTTAGTGGACTTTGCAGTCGTTTATCTAGACGATATTTTGCTGAAAAGTGGAAACTCAGAAGAACACAAGAAAAATGTTTTTGAGGTTTTCAGAAGGAAATTCACGCTGAAGGACAAAAAATATGAATTTTTTATGAATAAAATCAAATATACAAATTGTAAACATAGAAAGGAATTAATCTTATAATTTTGCTAAAGAATTTTCTAACCTTCGAATAATTCTTATAAACATTGCATTGTGGTCACTGTCACTCTAGCCTAGTTGTACTTGTATTATAACTTGCTATGTTACCGTTTAAATTCTCTGATTCAATGGAATTTCATTGGTTGAATTTATTGCTTCTTTGTTTCTCTCACCTTCCTCCTCTTTTTTATCTTAAACTGAAATGCATTGATTTATATTGTGTAAACATCTTACCTCTTATATCCCCAACTTTCTTCTCTTTACAAATAGGAGAATGTTGAATACTCATCTCAACCTTTATTTCTTTTTCTTGGTCTTTTCTTCCTCTCCTCTTCTCTATTTCGCTTTTTAATTAATCACTTAGCTTGCTTTTTTTCTCCATATATAAATCCTTTTTTACCTTTTATGGAAAATTTTTCCAAAGATAGAAGTTGGAGTTGCACTTCATTAACTGTATTTCAAAATAAAATATTTGAGTATCATCATGGTTTCCCACCTGAAGAAACGTTAATTTTTAACTTGGAAATAAGATGTAGTTTTGTAGTGGGTATGTACATATTCTAATAGAACAGTGCATAATAAATAAATATTTATTGCTCTATTTTGGTATTGAGCCCTGTTTTAAATGAATGTTTTGAAACGTTGAAATTTTACTCTTCGCTCTTTTACATTGGTACATATATGGGTATTTTTATATTTTATTTGTTTATAATATATATTTTTCTTAAGTATATTATATTTTTATTATCATTAGTATTATGAGATGATGATTATATGATGATGCTATTTAAACAGACACCATTTTAACCCATTCCTCAGTGATCTTTATTTGAAACATTGTTGTAACTCTATTTTAAATTTAACCTTCCTATCTTTTACCTTCCCTTTACTCATTATATTAACTTTTTTTTGTTCTTTTTTTCATAATGCAAACCCCCAAAGAAAAAAAAATTTTCAGGTCAATTTATTTTTGCTATTGTTTTATCTTGTATTTATTATTTTTCTATTGTGTCTGTCTGGGATATCATGATTCCATTTCATAAAATGTAGTCAATCTGATGAGATGAATATGCTTATATTCATCAAAATAAATTTATTGAGTATGGATATATATATATATATATATATATATATATATATATATATATATATAAGTATATATGATAATGAATAGAAAATACAATTCCAACATTCATAATAAGGGGTTTTATCAAAAATCTGATAATTTCCAATTTTTCATGTAAACACAGAAAACAGGGTTCATATCTACATGTTCTAGCTATTTTTAAAATTTTCTATTTCACCTTAGAAGTTTTATTAGCGTCTTTTTTAAACTCCAAACTATTTAGAAAGTGATGTTTTATTTCTGTAATTTGTGAAGGGCAAGATATGTTACTACAACCTGATCTTTAAAGAATTCTCAGTACTACCTATATAGAATTTTTTTAACATTCAACTATTGCAGAAATAGGACTTAGATAAACAAGAGAGTTAGTTGTTTGGTACTGGGCATTGCTCAGAATTCCTACAATTAAATCGGTTAATATTATCAATAGTATTTATCTTGAACATGCATTATAATCCAAATTTTAAATTGATTTAAAATTTTATTATTGCATAACTTTATAATCTTCTCAAGATTATCGGTTCAGTTATAACTTAGTTTTAACGTGTTTCTGTTAAATATTTTACTAAGGATTACTTTTAGGGGAATGTTTATTAATCAAATGGTGGAACTTCTGGCCCAACTTAATACTGAACAATTGGTTAAATGGGGTGTGTACCAAATGATCTTCCTATTTCTTTTTTTAGACCATTATCATCATATTTTCTATACTTGATTTCAGTGTACTTGTAACCACTATTCTTTAAAATGGTATTATAAACACCACTATATTTATCAAACACATCTTTGTCCGATGAATGGTTGCTAATCCTACATTCTATAAATGAAGGTATATGTTTGATTACAGATGGAGGGTGGTTAAAATTGGTTGAATATATATTGGGTTAGCATTATTTTTCATATAAGGTTGGAATACATCATTAACATGCATTGAAACATGATAGCAATTGTGTGGTGATTTTTAACATGTTTTGTTTTAATATATATCTCTATCTATAAAAGGCAGGGTGTGTGTGTGTGTGTGTGTGTGTGACGAATGCACGGCCGCAATTTTCGACGGATTTGCACCAAAATTTACATGCACAAGTTAGCAGGAAGGCCAAGACTGACTTTGCATTTCCAGACTCCCATTGATAATGGAAAATATCAATTTTTTTCATGCTTCTACAGCAATTTTCATGTAGTTTGCAGCCAATTTGTACTGGCCAGAGTGAGAACCTATAGCTGGCTGCCACGAATAGGCAGGAAGATTCTATTGGCCAGCATAGGAGCCAACAGCTGACTGACACAAATGTTAACAAGCATGCTAGCATGCAAAAAAAATCGATAGCTGCATTCGTCACAAGTGGCAAAAATTTAAATCTGCATGGCACTTTATTCCAATTGGCTCATTCGCTTACTTAAACTCAACGTTGATTCTGATTCCGCAGAACTGGGTTGGGTGTGAAAAAGTATTTGTTGTTAACATTCTTTTTTCATTCGGTTCTTCCAGTTACAAGTCCTTTTTTAAAGCTGATCGTTTTGTGTTCATTTTGTTTAGTTTTTTTTTTTTTTACATTTAATGTTTAGTATAGAGCTTAGAAAAAATTCACAGTGTGAGATAGGCAAGAAGTAAGGCATGTAGCAACATCAGCACGGCAAAGGACACTCTTTTAAAGGCAAGGAAGGGCAAAAATATTTTAAGTCAAGTGATAACGATTACTGTATGAGTCATACGATTTTTGAATCAAGCACAGGCAACGCTGCTAGTGTGTGTGTATGTATATGTGTGTGTGTGTGTGTATATATATATATATATATAATATATATATATATATATATATATATATATATATATATTATTTATTAAATATCTTGTAAGCTCTTTAAAAGCTAGAAAAAAATATCCAGACACTGACAAGTGGTTGCTGCATTTTCTTATGGTTATAGGTTGTTATGGTTGGAAAAGATACTATATTTATGTATGTCAGTAGAGCTAAATAAGTAGTAGAAAAATTCTGCTGATTCAGAATATATACAGTTTCATGTGTCTCTTGCCATTTTTATATTATAACAGCATTTTATTTATATATGCATCTATCATATTGAGTAGTTTACTTTTATAAATGACTTAACATAGAAAAGTGTTTCTATTTTGGTTGGGGGTCAAAATCAAATAGCTTTTACATTTCTCAAAATCTTTTTCTTTTTGCAGGTATTTTTTACAAGAAATGGACGAACAATTGGCAGTCGAGAAATGAAAATTCCTCAAGGAGGGCTCTATCCAACCATTGGCATGTTGAGCAGTGATGAAAAGGTCAGAGTAGATTTGCGGCCTCTTACTGGCTAGACAGAAAGCAAATTTGTCATTGTTTAACATGCCAAGTTTGGACAGGACCCCATTTGTGAAAACATTGAGACTTTTAACTCTTTCAATGCTACTCTTTCATTTTCCATTGTACCAATTCCTTTTCTACACTGCCACTGAAAAGTATCCATAATTATCAGGCTCCTTGTACCATTGATTTTTACCGTCCTATTCCTTTGCATGATCAGTGGAAGAAGGCTCAAATATTGCTAGCTTCAAGCTAACACAGTAACTATCTAAATTTATCTGAATTGTTAAAAATTCACAGAAAATCCAACAACAAAATTTGATCTTTGTTGGTTTATGTTTTATTGAACTGTCAGAAGGTTTGTGCCAACAAAATTTCTTTTCCCATTCAAAAAGAGAATGAAAATGTAGCTTCTGAAATTAAAATCAGAAGGAATTAAAGTATTATGTGAAATATTTTATACCTCCCCTCCATATATATATATATATATATATAAGTTATATTGATTATAACTAAAGACTTGAACAAAATTTTTCTTGTCCCAAAATCTGTTGAATTTTACTTGCTTGTATATATCTTTCTCCCACAATAGATTTTTTTTAATTATTAGTATTTCTTGTTATCAACTATTACTTGCATATCTGCTGCTTTTTTATTGTTTATTCATGTTTGTTAACTTTTTATTATTTAAATTAACAAATTTTTAAACATTTTATCTGTTGAAATTTTTGTTGCATGTTTGCAAATGCTTTTTGTTTTTTTGTTGTTTGTTTTTTTTTTTTTGTTTTTTTTTAGTTTTTTTTAGTTTCAATTATTACAGTAAAATATCCAGCTCTGCTTTAATTTTTCATCTAATAAAGTTCAAAATAATTACTTTGTAATCAAGTCATGGCATATGGTTGTTCACATTTTTTATTCATTTAAAATATTTTAGAATAATCTTGGCTACATAAATTACAAATCCTTCAAAGAAAATGTTTTACTTTTTTCTTTTTTTTAAACTTTAATAAAACCATATTAACTAATCATAAATTTAGGTAAAGTTGCACTTTGAAAATATTGTCAGCATTTTATCAGTTATCATTTCCATGAAAATTGTTGAATGCTTAATGAAATCTGATAATTATAACATTCATATATTTCCTCAGAACTTGAATTACATATATTTTAACACAAAACAATAATTGATTATCACTTTCTTGTAACATATAGCAAATCTGAAATTTCCAAAATAAATATTTTACTCGTGTTTAATTGCATGAATATGATCTTAAAAAGTATTGGTTAATTAATTCATAAAAAAAAATTCATTTTATGTTAAAATGAATTCACAACATTTGGCTCAACCTTGTGACCACTTAACAGCAATACAATTAGGAATAACCAAAAAATATCATGAACCACTTTTTTTATCAAGTTTTCATTCTTTGAATTTTGTTTTATCAATTAAATGTTATAAAATAATCTTTAGCTATTTGCTAATCATTTTGAATTAGTTTTCATGAATTTATTGCTATGAAATTCTTTTTTAATTTTTTTAATATTGTATTTCAGTTACATCAATAATAATTGCAATAAAATTAATTTAATTTATGGATGCTATGAAATGCTTAGATTTTGAAATTGATAAACAAAATTATTTTACTTTTCAAGGTACATAGTTTTAAGTTTTCAAATATTGTTGCTACTTGGTCTTAACTTTAAAACTTTGTTTTATTTATTTGTAATAAACTTGTTTATTTACATTTTATATCTTGTATTTTTAAAATATGGTTGAAAATTTGAGTCAGACTTGTATATTTATAATAAAATTCTTTCACACATTGATGAATGTTCTTTGTATGATTTGTATATGAGAATGCTAGCTTGATACAATGACTTTTTCTTTTAAGAATATCTGAATTGCTTCATATTCAACAGAAAAATAAAATTCATTCATTATTTATGGCTCCCCTACATGATTGGATCAGGAGAACAACATAGAAGTGGACAGTAAATGATTTGTATCTGCATTAAAACTCATCTCCATCCTTCTAACAATTGACAGGCTTGTAATATAATTCTGATTTTAGTTTTAAAAAAAACAAGTTGCTGGTGTTGGATTTTACAAGTAAGTGAATCTATACCTGGTGCTGGTTGTGTAGTAAGGAATAGCAGTGTTTTGCATGCAACTAGCAGTGGTGATAACCAAAAATCAATAGGTAGGAGTCGGCAACCACCCTAGATGAAACAGTGTTTGTTTTCATTTGTCAGATGATAACAAAAAGGACTTTTGCTGAGATGCCTTGCAGGATCCCGAAGTGAAAAAACTTGTAGGATGATTTAAATTTGATAGAGGATTGTTTTGTGAGTTGGCAACTGTCAGTGTGTGGAAGAGCCAGTTGTAATCATTCAATTTCAACACAGGTTGGAATGGAAATTAAAAAGTTGATGGGAAAAGCTTAGATAGCCAAGCAAGGTAATTTGGATTTTACTAGCATGCCAAAAAAATGCTCTAGTAAGCTATTGGAGAAGCTAAAAGTATTTAATTACAATAAATTGAATTAGCACCTGGAATTGTCTGAGTTTAAACTCTTGACTCAAGAATTGAGCAAAACAAGTTGTTATGGTGCAGAATATTTCATCATTTTAAAAATAACCTTGTCATCAGTGATGATAGAAATCATCACCCTCCTAACCTCATCATTACAAAAACGGCCCTTCCACCACAAGAGAGTAGATTAGTGTAGACTAGAGTACCTATAGTAGCAGTACAGAAATTATGCCAGCACTCCATGAAGATCAAAAATAGATAATTTCAAACACCATCCTCACAAAGGAAATTCCCGGAGGCAAACAAAGTAATTCACAATACAAAAAGAAAATACAAATTCTTGCTATTCATGTCAACATATGTCTCAATTTTTTTATTGTTGTCATTGTACATTTATGCATTTTAATGTCTGTCATTAACATCAACCCCCATTACAGTCAACACATAACAGGGAAAATAATACATCAACACCTAATTTACGTACTCTGTTACAGAGCACTCACCCCATCACATTTTATTTAATATCCACTATTCTGCTTTGTCTATTGGTGTCAAGAATTCAATTGACCCTGTCTGTAACAAAAAACTTTCACAGACCCTGTTACTGCACCCATCCAACTTGAAATGCATATGAATCGAAAAGAGGGTCTACATCACATATTGTCTACATCTTGTGTAGAACTGTTGGGTCTAGAGCATCGAAATTTGAATAACAAAGATCAAGTAACTGAACATTGCTAGCTGAATCCCAATTTTAAATGATACCTGTTTCCTTGATAGATATTTCATATTGTAGGTAAGTTTAATTTTTTTTCTTTATATTTTCTTTATTGATGCATTTTAAATTTCTATAAAGTACTTATTGTATTTTGTTCAAACTGTCAGCTCAAATGATTTTCACCTTGGTTGTGATTTTTATGCATTTTCTTGAAAAAAAATGAAACTGAATTCATATAAGAAAAAAAAAAATTACCTGCAAAAATTTTTAGTTCTTAACACACATATTTGTTAGTAAAAAAAAAAAAATTAGAATACTTTTATTTTTTTCAAAAAGTATCCGGTTTTCTTTTTAATGGTCATTTATTTGACAATATTAATGGTCATTTGTGGTTGGCAATATTTTACTATAATTTTTATAATGTTTGGGAATTTTGAAAAAGAAATGAAACTGGATAAATTTTATAAAAATTAAAAATAAACAATATATATGTTTTAGCTTAACTTTGCACACACACGTCTGTAAAAAAAAAAAAAAAAAAAAATGTAATCGTTTTTTTTTTTCTCTTAATGATCATTTACTAACTCCTATTGTATTAGGTACTATGATGATGGTTACATAAAAATAATTTTCTTAAAAAAATAGAAACATAGATTTTTAACTTTTGTAAATACACTTTTTTTTTCTTTTTTTTTGTTAAATGCATTTTTTTTCTTAAACAGATAAGAAAATTGGAATACAACATTTTTTAAAACAGGTCTCTGTTCATTTCACACCACTAGGGTTTTAATAAAATTTGTATTTAAACTTCTTCTTAAACTCGATATTCTGACAGGTAGTTTTCTTGCAAATGGCAAAGGCAAGCCCAAAGAAAACTCTAAATTCCTTGGGATGAAAGGAATAGACCTTACAGTGATGTAACTTTTAATGAAACTCGGCATTGCAGGAGGTGGAGTCATGGCAGTAACACCAATAATACAAATGGAGTATTTGCATTGGTTCTGGTCCTGCTGGCAACTTCTGCAGCCTTCATTGTTTTAAGGCCCATAGGCAAATGAGGAAAGCCCTTAGATAGGTAAACACTCAAAGGTTTAAGGGACAAAAAAAAAAAAAATTATTTCACAAAATCTGTTTAAGAAATATTCTGTCAGTCCCTTTTTTTTCCTGTTTCTTTTGTAATAGAAGAATTGTACATTTTTTTTCTTACAGGTTTTTGTTTGGTTCTGCAAACTCTTTCTTGATACCAAAAAGGAATAGCCAAGATTTATGAAACTAGTTCAGCAAATGTTAACATGTTAGTGGCTTGAAAGCGCTGAATGATTGAGATATCTGAAGGTCCTCTTTGTGTCAAGATCAACACCAGTGGAAGTAAAGCTTGGCTGGAAGTTGCTCTCTGCAACTTCTTGGTGACATGAAAGAAATTGGTCAGTTAATCTGAATATTCAAACAACCTTGGCAATTGGAATGAAGCAGCTCAGATGATTATCTTCAGTTGTGAGCAAAATGCTATGACTTCAACTTTTACATTCATCAATTCATTGATTTTACATCCCTGTAAGTTTTTCAGCCATTCCAATAAATACATTTTTATTAATTTCAGTTTTTTTTGTTTTTTGTTTGAAAATGAGTTTAAAACAATTAGCATTTGTTTGAAAGATTGACGAACGATTCCTTTCAGGAAACAAATTTTTAAATGTCAGTCATTGCTGTATTTTTTTTTTTTTTTTTTTTGTCAAAAATTGCATAATTTCACAAATTTTCAAAAATTAGATGCATCTATCACAAAAGGTAATGATTTTAGAGCAAATAATTATTTTGTCACATTCCTCATCCAAAAATTGGTAAAGTTTCAGGCATGTACCTCCAATGAATACATTTTTATGGCAAGTTCAGGATGGCATACTTTTGACCTGTTTTTGCCATATTGAACTTATGGATGTTTTCACATGATGTAAATATGAAGTTTTTTACTGATGTATTACTGAAAAAAATTAGCTTAATCTCGGTTGCATTATGAGTCATAACATGTAGTTATAAAGCATTAACTGTTGAAATTAAACTTACATGAGCAATCAAATTTGCTCTTCTGTGTCACTTCATTTTTTGAGAACAATTTTCCCAAATATTTAAGCTGGTCTGATTTAATAATTATTGATTCCATTAGTATTATCTTTTACTTCAAAACTACCTTTATGAAATTATATTTATAATTCTTCACTTGCAGGAAGCCTGCATGTTCACTGTTAAAATTTGGCTTCTGTCCCAAAGCTAAGAAATTTTGAATGGTTATAAGTTGGTTGTTAATTGATCTACCAAGATACATTTGGTGCCTTTTTTTTTTTTTTTTTTTTTTCAACCTCTCTGTCTATATTAAGTTTTTAAAATGAAAAGAAAATTTTAGTTTGGGATAACTATTACTATGTATATAATTAACACCTGAAAGAAACATATTCTTCATAAATACAGGGATCAAGATGGAGTAGTCATTACAAAATGCAGAAAAATATTTGATATCATCACCAACCCCCCACCCTTCTCACCTACTCCACCAACCCTTGCAAAATACTTCCCTTGACTAATTTCATTAGAAATTTTCAGAGTAATGATCAAGTGAAATAGTTATAGACCATGTTTTGGAGACCAACTTTCTGTAGGCCTGAGACTAAAGTTCCCTGCTTGAATTGTTGAATCAACAACCAGTAAATTAGTCTGTAGCTTTGCTTTTGTAGTTGTTGCTAAAATATGATGTGAATAAGACTGTAAATTAGTTGTAGTTAAGCACCAATGAATTAGGAAGGATTAATCTGACAAATGTAAACCTTAATGAATAAATTCTATGTTATTGTTGCTACAAACAAGAGTTGTCACTACCTTCTTTACTTTTCTTGTAGCTTGCTCCTTTTGCACTTGAGGACATTTCAACCAACTTTGCATAAGACGTCCTCAAACCCAAAACTTAAACGTGTGTTAGAAGATCAGCTGGTGGAATAAGACGCCCAGGACAGGAAGTCTAGAGAAGAGGATTGCACTATAGGGGAATCAGTCCAAACTCAAAAGTTTTTAATTTATATACTATCTTACATTAACACTTCTCTCTATTTAACTAACAAGAATCCTAACATAATAAAGAGAAAAAGTGATACAATCATAGAAAACAATTTTTGGTAATCAAATTTATTTCATTTTGGAGAGCTTGATGTTTTAATGTCTAATATTTGGTATACACAAACTCAACCAAAATTGTGGAATCTGATTAATCATGTTAACATTCAGGTAAAACATAAACAATCATGAAACCTAAACTGATCCACAATGCACAGAGATAGGTTTCCTTTTTTTTTTTTCTTTTACAAAAAGAAAAAAAAAAATAGCCATGCCAAATAGAATGGAAAATTTTCAACTCAATAGTTGAAAATTATCCATTCTATTTTTTATTAGTTACGTCTGATAAAAGTATTTCACCTCTTTGTTACTATTTTGTCATTTAATCTAATTGTTTCTCATTAGTCATAAGTTAACTGAAAAATTATGTGTAAATCATTGAAAATGTTTCAATTTAACAAATCTCTATCTATAAAAGGCAGGATGTGTGCGTGGCCGCAATTTTTGACAGGTTGCACCAAAATTTACATGCACATGCTCCAAGTTAGCAGGAAGGCCAAGACCGACTTTGTTTCCACTATCGATGGGAGTTGGGAAATGCAATCAATTTTTTTCATGCTTCTACAACAGTTTTCATGTAGTTTGTGGCCATTTTGTACTGGCCAGAGTGAGAGCCAATAGCTGGCTGCCACAAATGTTAACTAGCATGCAAAAAAAAAAAAAAAATCGATAGCTGCATTCGTCACAAGTGGGGAAAAATTTAAATCTGCATGGCACTTTACTCCAATTGGCTCATTCGCTTGCTTAAACTCAACGTTGATTCTGATTCCACAGAACTGGGTTAGGTGTGAAAAAATATTTAACATTCTTTTTTCATCCGGTTTTTCCAGTTACGAGTCCTTTTTTTAAAGCTGATCGTTTTGTGTTCATTTTGTTTAGTTCTTTTTTCGTAACACATTTGATGTTTAATATAGAGCTTAGAAAAAATTCGCAGTGTGAGATAGGCAAGAAGTAAGGCATGTAAGCAACATCAGCATGGCAAAGGGCACTCCTTTAAAGGCAAGGAAGGGCAAAAATATTTTAAGTCAAGTGATAGCGATTACTGTATGAGTCGTACGATTTTTGAATCAATGCCGGGCCATGCTGCTAGTATTGAAATAAAATATTAAAAGCAACACAACTGGAAAATTAATTGGAAATTTACTGTATTTTTAAATTTAGTTTTATATCTATGAAACAGAAAATATATTTGAACAACAATGGTTGTAAGAAATGTTTATTTTCACATTTTATACAAACATTTTATACATTTTCTTCTTTTAGTAAAGATATTTACAATTTAGAGTTATGGCAAACAAAAAGGATATTTTTATAAAAGTTTGTTTTCATATTATTTGCACTTTCAGGAGTTTTTTTTTTTTTTTAATCCTTTCCCATATTGTTTTTGCCATATATTCTAAGATGAAAAGGAACTTATTCATAACCACTGGCATCAAAGAACTTCATTTGATTATGGAAAAAAAAACACTGCCATCTATTTAGAAAAATGTTATGGACTAAATACTAAAATTAAATTAACCTAATGTAATAGCAATTGTAGAATCTATTTGTTTCTGAGAATTATATATCACAGCCAACTGGTAAATGTTCTGATCACATATTCTGTTATAAAATAAAATCATTTATGAGAATTAGATTTTCATACAAAATGTAAATACAGAAAATCTTTTATGATTTGATAGTTGTATTATTGAATGTATTTTTGGTGATAAATTTAGCAATGAAACATAAAGAAAGCCACATTGAAAGGACTGAATTGTCCAGCAGTTAGGATAAAGGGCACTTCAAAGCCAGCTGTGATATATTTCTCTCCTGTTATTTAAACTGTTCAACATGCATGTAATAGCACATTTATTTAGCATTAGTAAGTGAAATACATCATAAAAATACAAATCCAATACCAAATTGTAGACCTGGGTTCACACTGAAAATAGAAAAATTACAGGAAAATAATACAATATGTACAACAAATAAAAATTTAAGAAGAAAAAAGTATCAATAAGTTATGATGCTGACTAGGTTAAAATAGCATCTAGGAACAACTTTTTGTTATTTTTTCTTCCTATTCAGAGGTGTCCAAACTTTTTTCAAAGGGGGCCAGATTTGATGAGGTGAATATGCGTAAGGGCCAAACATTCTGCTTGGCATTCTTTGAACCATTAAATGTAAGTGAACTATCTTAAGAAAATTCTATTGCAAATTTTCATATCTTCACATGAATGACAAATAAATTTAAACAGGTCTTACCAAAATCACTCAGCCTGTCATGGTGAAAACCTTTGATGAAAATGATCCAGTGAGAGACTAATTTGTGGAGAAAATGATAGGCAATCTTGATGTACCAAAACATTTAAATGAAAGAACATGAACATTTTCTTTTACTAGGATACAATTCATCATTTCATGGTAGTTTATAGAGGCATGGACCTGGACAATAACATTTTGTTTTCATAAAAACAATATGATTATGTCTGAAGTGTTGCCCAAATTAAAAAAATGAACTCTTTTCATTTTTTTCTAGTTTTAAAGAATTAAAATAGATTGCAACATGATTGCCCAAGCAAATGTGATGATTATAAAATTTTCTCTTACCCATAAAGTCTAGAGAACTCATTACTCGTGGAGATTTTTCTACTTATAATTAATAATAATAACTATTTTGTGCATCAATATTAAAAGTAAAAGATATTTCCATACAACTAATTAGTTGCTTATCGTGCAAAAAATTTTTAACAATAGAGAGAAATAGTAAAATTTTAAATAAACTAAAAATGTGGCAAAAAACAGTGTTTTGGAAATTCTTACACAACATTTAGTAAAAGCAATAATTATAGTAAATTTAAAGCCAGAAAGTATCTAAAATTCAATAAAACATTAGATTACAGACAATATTTTCTTAAATTTTCAAGATGACTGAGTACTTAAAAATTATATATAAAAGGTGCTCATGTTAATTGTTTTTTATGATCAAAGCCTCCATAGAACAACATCAGATAAACATCAATCTGTTATCAAGCTGTCAAACATGTAAACAGCTTAAATAAACAGCAACCGCTGTGTTAAAAAAATGCATTTTTGTGATATTTTAAACTTAA